TCATTATGTAGGTTTGAGTTCACTTTCAATTGTATCTATTGTAATCAGGTTTCCACCAATTTAAAAGTGAGAAAGTCTTCACTTTAGTAAAATATGGTACCGAATTTTTTTTTTCATAAAAATTTTGGCTTTCAAACCGAATTATCTTCCTCCGAGATATCTAAATGGTTGCACCGATACTCACCCAATGCTAAAATCCAAATAGCGTACACCAAATACCAACTGCGACCAGACATCAAATTGTTGTGCCACCACATAATCCTTGACCAGCACTGATTTGGTTTTGACTAAATTGTTAACATAAGCGCCAGAGGCATGTGTGCCTAAAAATGTTAGCTCAGATAAATCCAAAGAAACCTACGCCCAAAAAATACATCCATACCCGGTATGAATAGATCCTTCAACGGCATTTGCGCTATGTGCTCCAGTTTCGACATCCAATTCGGCTGTATCTTCAAGCATTCCACCGTCAGTAGTTCACTACCATTAAAACTGGCTACATAATATGGCAAACATTTTCCTTTTGGATATTCAATGGGCACTGTATTATCATCATTGCTATTCCAACCGTGTGGGAAGCGTAATTTTCCCACTTTCACATTGCTCAAAACTTTACCGGACGAGTTGTTTATATTTGTTATACGTGCCTCCGGGTGAAAATAGGTCGTCGAGGGATCTTCACTAAAAATGCCAATCCACTCGGGATGATCATGACATTCGGGTCCCCAATTTATTTCGAGGTATGCATCTTGTAAGGTTTTGCTGTCCAACGAAATGGTGAGATAAATGGGGCAAGCTTAAGTAATTGAAAGGAAAAAGGGAAAATTTTTAAATATTTAGTGTTAATGAGTACCTATTTGATTACTCCAAACTTACCACTTATAAGTAACGGCAGATAATAGCAAAAGATTAACAAAAAGCTTAGATACATAGCGTTTATTACGTTCGTAACGCTAAACTTGAACTTAATCTCAAATTGAATTTAATGTCGCTCAATGCTGGCGACTACTTACGAGTATGAGGCTTGAATCTAAGTAAATGTAGCGAGTTGAGTTTAGTTACACACATAATCTCCAACATACAGGGTCATCTTGGTATTAAATCTTGGTTCTGGATGAAATTTAGAAGACGGGAACAATTTCTGAGAGATTTAGGAATAATTTAATTCTAAAGTACAGATGCAGGCGAGGAGGGGGGATGCGCGGACTCGCCCATTACCTATATACCCTTGTGGTCAGCTTATTAAGTTAATTGAAATTTTTTTTTTGAGTTTTTATTTTGAGTTTTTTAATGTGTATAGTTTTTTTTATAAAAGTCTAGCACATTACATAACCAGAACCACATAAATCCACATTTCAAACTTCGTACAAAAATTATAAAAAATCAACAAACTTTAACATCTACACCCAAAAATTTGAAAAATTTTGTTCAGAATTTTTAGAAAAATTCTAGGTATGCAGTTTTATAGCCCATTAAAGTTAAGCAGGTAAAAGTGAAAATTTCAAAACGCCTAGGATATCGCGTTGAATTTTAATATTTTTTTTTTGGCTGACAGTGCTAGGCAGTTTCTTCTATATAAAAGGCACTATCCTAAGATAAAACGTTAGTGAATTGAACCCTACTTGCCTTCTTATATTCTTTAATAACTAATCTTTAATATGGACCACACTAAAAGCGCCTTTTCATATAAAAATTCGTATGTGTCCCAGACAGAGGAATTTCGGATTTTTTTTTT